CTTGCCGGGTGGTGTGTGATTATCCTGCTCTCTACAGCATTAAGGAGCAGTGCAGCTGGTCAGGCAGGAGCATTTTGGGTGAAGGACGTTTCTTCAGGTTGGAGCAGATGTGGCCCTAAGGAGATCAACCCAAGGCCCTCTGATTGGCGACTACAGGCTCTGGTGATAAACCATGGCCCAACATACTGTACATACTGTGTCTGTCTACCCATTGTGCCATACACATGGAGAGTCCCTAATGGCATATTCTGAATAAGAATTGTTTTCATATATGTTATTACCAGGGGATAATCAGCTTATTACTTAGCAGGCTGAGTGATTATTGGATGTTAATGTTTAGCCTAATACACGTTATTAACAGGATCATTAAAACAACCCTAGTCTATTTAAATTAATGATCAGTCCTAGGCTGGAAGAATAGGTTGGGAAGTGAGATGTTAATTTGCTGACGTTATAACTGGACTGCACACTAACTAGCTGAGAACAGAGCAAAACCTGATAAGGATGGAAGAGGAGAGATCGACTCAGGCAATAGGACTAAAAGGAAGTCTGTATTTTGCTGAAAAACATGAATAACACACTCAAGTGGCCTTTGCAGAGGGAAAGAGGCCTTTGTATGGAGGTAGAGTGAGTCATGGCCACAGAGACAATAAAAGTTCCTCTGTCATGAGTTGAAGCTGTTTAACCTTTTGATCCTCTTTGTAAGTACTGTGGGTTTGGCCATTCAGTTCCTGGTAAAACCAAAGCACCAGATATAGGCTATTAAAAAACATTGGAAACTTTTAGTTGTAATTGCCATTTATATACATGTAATATGACAACCTCTGTTTACAGAATGAGTCTCATGGAAAATGTGCATTACCCAGTTCCTGTTATTTTGTTCTCCAGCCAGGGCAGTTTAAATAGAAACAGAGAAAAAAAACACAGACCATTTGACTAATGGCTCTACAGTCATTCGTCTAGCAATAGAGGCAGTTCTTTTTAATCTAAAACTGAGAAAATGTGTCATTCCAATCACTAAATTGAAACTCTAGGCAGATTGAATGTCTAGGATCCATCTTCAAAATATATCATGATGTTTGATTTCCAGGAATGTATGAAATTGGCCTAAATTACTTTTGATGAAGGTAAAATATAAGGGCACAGTATGAAAATGTGAAGTTATTGAAATGTCAGCTGTTGTGGTCTACTCTAAAACAAGAAAACATTTGTTGCATAACATGTAAAGTTAAGTTAAATTGTTTGGGACAGTTTTGTCATGTCGCACTGTATGTGAAACATTTTTACTTTCCCTGTTGAATGATTTTTTTTCTTGTATTAGGCCTAACCCTATATGAAAATATATATGTTAGTATTAGTATTCCTCGTTCATGTTAATTGGAACATACTATAATAATAGGTCTACTACTGTTTGAACACCGTTTTCCACTTTGCCAATGAGGTAATTTTAAAACATATCTCTATGACCTCAAAATACTTGCAAATGGTGCCTCCCCCACAAAACAGCAGGGGTCTCCCCAACAGCGCCAAATGTTTAGAGCGAAGATAAAATGCTTTCGAGGAGAAAGAAAGGCACTGATTGCCATTGCAATCGGTACGCAATCGTTGCCACCATGGCGCTTGGCACAATATCAATTTATAGAGAGCAAAGTTTATGGCAACTAAGACGGTAAGAAACAACTTAAGGTCCTCAAAAACCACAACGTCGTAGCCACATGCGCTCATTTTGAATGAAACATCATCACATTGCTTTAGGTTCGATAGATAGACCATAACCGCGAGACGACTTCAAAGCAAAGCATTATATTTTTCAAAAGCAAAACCAATAAACCTAGTGGGCGCATTGTATAAAGTGGAAGTTATAAAGATACAATGACTAAGTTTGACATGTTAGTAGTTCAGTTATCGCGAGCTGCTGCGCTACATTTGGAAACACACGGAAAGTATGTTGCATACCACAACAAACCCCGTATAAGAATGGCAAATTCTTAGATAGATTAGCGAAATACTGTACCTTGTCGACGCAACTCCCGTAAATCCATGCAGAAACTTGTACACCTTTCTCGATGTTCCGTCGTTGCCCAACTTGTAGGAAGGACTGCTGTGACGTTGAGGGATTCTATGGAGCGGGGAAAGAGAGGAGATAGATTTAGGGAGGATGGAGGCGACTGTTTTCCTGAGGAGTGCGGGAAGGCTCAATAGTAGACTTCATGCTGCATTTTAGTGAAGCTGATATTTCTTTGCTCCCCTTTATTTTACGTCCACCTGTAATAATAAGATTGACACAATGTATCAGCTATCAATTATGATGTGTGTTGAACTCAACGGGGCATTTGAAGAAATTGTTTTGACTCAAACAGAAAGAGATTGGACACGTCAAAAGTAGCCTATTTTGTATATTTCAAAGCGATTTTTACATTCCATCTACACTGAACAAAAATATAAACGCAACATGTAGTGTTGGTCCCATTTTTCATTGGCTGAAATAAAAAATCACAGAAATGTTCCATAGGCACAAAAATCGTATTTCTCTCAAATGTTGTGCACAAATTTGTTTACATCTCCATTAGTGAGCATTTCTCCTATGCCAAGATAATCCATCCACTTGACAGGTGTGGCATATCAAGAAGCTGATTAAACAGTATGATCATTACACAGGTAATCCATCCACTTGACAGGTGTGGTATATCAAGAAGCTGATTAAACAGCATGATCATTACACAGGTGCACCTTGTGCTGGGGACAATAAAAGGGCACTTTAAAATGTGCAGTTTTGTCACACAACACAATGCCACAGATGTCTCAAGTTTTTAGGGAGCGTGCAATGGCATGCTGACTGCAGGAATGTCCACCAGAGCTGTTGCCAGGGAATTGAATGTTCATTTCTCTACCATAAGCTGCCTCCAATGCCGTTTTAGAGAATTTGGCAGTACGTCCAACCAGCCTCACAACCGCAGACCATGTGTAACCACGCCAATCCAGGACCTCCACACCCAGCTTCTTCACCTGCAGGATCGTCTGGAGAAAAACGCATTCTGATTGGCTGGGTGATAGAATAATTATTAATGACTAATTATTACACCCTGAAACTGTGTGAAATGTGTTAGAATGTGTGAGTGTAGGACCAGTAAAGATTATGACATTGAGCTACTATTTAGCAATGTGAGTAAGAGTTAGACCAGACAACAAAGGACAAGGAGAGCTGTCAACAGACAACTGAGAAACCAAGATAAAGAGGCCTCCCAATTTAGGGAGGAGAGAAACTGTTCGGCTTTTTAAGGAGTATGAAACATGGTGCAGAATATTGTGAGAACGGCGATAACTGAGGAATGCAGGGAGTAGGCTATGATAAGAAAGTGTGTGTGTGAACTGATGGTCAGGAGAGCAATTATAAAGTGGAAAACTACAGCCTGCCTAAAGAGGGGAGGGATTTTTGTATGACGTATGAGTATAAAAGATGGACTCTGAAATTGTGATGGCAGAATTCTCAATGAATAAACATCTCTGACTATGCAGACCGGGACTGTCCGTTTCTTGATTTTGGGAGACGCACAGAGACACTGAAATAGTTTGTTAAATAATTCTCATAACACTGGGCCTGTCCACCTAGTGGGTGGGCCTATGCCCTCCAAGGCTCACCCATGGCTGCACCCCTACCCAGTCATGTGAAATCCATAGATTAAGGCCTTATGAATTTATTTCAATTGACTGATTTCTTTATATGAACTGTAAAATCTTTGAAATTGTTGCATTTATATTTTTGTTCAGTATACTTTCGTATTACACAATTTCAGAAGACATGTTGAATGAAATCAGGAGTCAGGACCATCATGTTGCCTATCCAGAGGTATAAGGAGTTGGGCAACTAATAACACTAGCTACTAACAATATTAATACTAGACTAGTCTTTATTTAACATTAATGTAGCCAAAGTAGGCAGAGATTAATAGCCCTGTGGTCACGTCCATGCTTAATGCATTCACATCTAGCCCCCTGGAGGCCATTTCCTAGACTTCAATTACAAGCTGGTGAGGTTGGGAACATTCCTTTAAAATCAATTTTCACTGTATAATCGGTTTAGTTTCTTATGGTTTCTATGCATAACCGTCATAAGCTTGTGTCAATCATCCACATTTGCACAGTAACAGAAAACAAAACAGTGTTGTTGGCTTCTCGGAGCCAATAGAAGTCTCTTCTGCATCATGTGGACAGGATGTATTGTGCTATTCAGAAAGGGTAAAACTTCACTGTAGCGCATGCCGGTGTAGTAATTCTATAGTAATAACATTGTATTAACACATTGTTGAATGGTCCTTATTCCACTTGTGTAGCAACAATAACCCCTAAACTCAATTTTACACAGTAACAAAACAATTATTAAATAGTGTTACTAAACAGATAGAGCAAGATACAAGTTAACTCATATCTGAACCCTCCTTGGCAGAGAAAAAGCCCCACTTTCCCATCAATCAACAGTGTGAAACTAAAATAATCTCAAATTCATTTATTTCTTGCTGTGCAAGAGCATTCATGTCTTTGACTTACAATGGAAACAACTGTTTGCAGGTTTGATTAAATCCAGGGCCCTGAACTGTAGGTTTCACTGTTTCACTCCTCAGGAAAACAGGGTACCCCCCAGCAGGAAAAACAGAACTAGACAATCATTTGTGACTAGACAATCATTTGTGCGAAGTGTAATATCCCTCCTAAACAGCTTGGGCTAATGTTCCTATCCACCCAGTAAGGCCAGCAGGCTAGTCTCTTTCATTTGTATATACTGTATGTAACTTATTAATTTTGTGTTGTCTAGTGTATTCAAACGCGTACATGATACTGCAACAAAATGTCCCCATGGGGACAATAAAGGCAGTAAAGTGTGTCAAACCAAAACTAGTCTGACATGAACGTGCCACATAGGGCTAGTTGTGTACCTGAACCCAGGAACCGATCAGCCCCCTAGGAGGTCAGTTGTTCCAGGAATTTGCTGTCCTCGTCAGAGGACATAGGGCTAGTTGTGTACCTGAACCCAGGAACCGATCAGCCCCCTAGGAGGTCAGTTGTTCCAGGAATTTGCTGTCCTCGTCAGAAGGCCTGTGTGCGTGGCTCTGAAGTCCAGGCTGCCTGGCTGCACACAACACCAGGGAGGACGAAGGACAGACACAGGGTCCGGCCGGTGCATGATGCTGCTGAGTCGGCACCATGGTCCCTCTGCCCCAGGGAACCCAACACTTAAGGCCACCGAGACCAATGCCAAGAATGCAAGGCATTCAGTAACACATTTCTGTAGCGTTTTCCGGGTTCTCACCACTGCAGTACGGTATAAACAGTGCGGCAAGTTTTAACACAACACCGACTTGGGAGCTCGGAGGAGAATGCCAACAGCCATCTGTTTTTCACTTGAAAAAAGACACTGTTTTGATTGGTGCACTTGATCTGTTTAATCATCTCAATACTGACACTGATCATCATGGCAGGCAAATGTCTGACAATAATAATAATTTCATCCAATGACTTAATCCAAGCAGAAATGGAATGCAATTACTATGTCATATTAGCTTCAGGGAGATTAGCCAATCGTGGATTATTCATAAACAGTTTTTAAAATTGTGCAGAAACTGCAATTTGGAGTAGGCTATACTCCAGTGCTTCAAGCCCAAGTAAAAAAATATAAATACATGTAAAATCTGAAACATTTCACAGAGATGAGATTCACATTAGATCAGTAATGTAAGTTTGTGACTATACACAGCCTGTCATTCTCCTTGAAACAGTTTCAACACTCCTTACATACATTTCTACTAAAACCATATAGCACAGATATAGGTGTAAACACAGAGTAAATTGGAATGAGTTAATTGGAATGCCACATCGAAAAGTTTAAGGGCTGAACTTGTGTATGCTCAATAGGGTGCAACTTTAATGCCAATTGTCAGTTTCATAATAAAAGTTAATAAAGTCCATGTTTAGGCACACAGTAGATTAAACATCTATGAGAGAGTAGGGGTCTTTGTCTCTGAGAACAGTGCCCTCTGCTGTTACTGGAGTGGAGAGGAATAATGACAGTCCTTACTATAATTCACAGCAATGCACAAAAACTGCATAATGCTCGTCTCGGGCAACAACACAATCCATATTTTTGGGAAGATGGGCCAAAATGATATCGCCTTGCCTTACAATGCTAATTACGCAGGGGTCGATAATCACTTGTGACAGGAAGCTCTAAAGTCATCCATCACACTAACCCCTGTGAAATGCAACTATTTATTTTATTTATCTATTTGCTGGAACTCAGTGTTGACAGTTGCCAAGCCAATGTGATTGGTCCTGTGTCTCCGTCAGCGTTTGGAGGTGAGCGTGAGGGTGGAGGAGACGCGGAAGATCTGAGGCAGCATGTTGCTCAACTGGTAGAACATCTCATCCGAGATACTCTGTCAATAAAACACAGACAGACAGCAATGCTTAGTGAGCAGTGGGCACGCAGGGAACGGATGTCTTTCCAACTGAGTAGCCAACATGGACACAAACGGCTTACATACACAACATCTCCTAGGGGGAAATTCTTAACATACAAATTCACATTTTTTTTTTTGGGTTTGTTTGTGTACAAGTGTTAACGACAACCTAAGCAGGGACCTTTAGCTCAACGCCACCTTTAGCACGGTGTCCCATTTCTTGTGGGACCAGTCAAGATGCTGTAATTATGTGTGCTCTGACAGCTGTGGCTTTCATTGGGAACATGTTAGGTCACAACACTAACAGGCCTTCTAATAAGCATTTAAAGTATTAAATGTCTCCACTCACAGCATTCATATTTTTATGCATACAGTACGTGCCCTGTTTGAGGAGTAGAAAATGAGGTTCTAATTTGAATGGTGTCGGAGCATAAGACTGGCAGACGTAAATGCTGTTATAACCCTTGATGCTGGTTTTATCCCCTGAGCCTGTCAACATGTAATCATACTATAGGCGACCCAGTCTACAGGGAACCTCACTCATGCCTATAACAATACTTATATAACTAACCTGTAACAGAGCCACATTAATAAAGGGAATGGTTCTATAGAGAAATAAGAGCTCTCCCCAAAACAAGTTATCTACAGTACCAGTCAAAGGTTTGGACACACCTTCAAGGGTTTTTCTTTATTTTTACTATTTTCTACATTGTAGAATAATAGTGAAGACATCAAAACGATGAAATAAATAACACATATGGAATCATGTAGTAAACTAAAAAGTATTAAACAAATCAAAATAGATGTTATATTTTAGATTCTTCAAAGTAGCCACCCTTTGCACACTCTTGGCATTCTCTCAACCAGCTTCATGAGGTAGTCACCTGGAATGCATTTCAATTAACAAGTGTGCCTTGTTAAAGGTTAATTTGTGGAATTTCTTTCATTCTTAATGCATTAGAGCCAATGAGTTGTGTTGTGACAAGGTAGGGGCAGTATACAGAAGATAGCCCTATTTGGTAAAAGACCAAGTCCATATTATGGCAAGAACAGCTCAAATTAGCAAAGAGAAACGACAGTCCATCATTACTTTAAGACATGAAGGTCAGTCAATACTTTGAAAGTTTCTTCAAGTGCAGTCGCAAAAACCATCAAGCACTATGATGAAACTAGCTCCCATGAGGACCGCCACAGGAATGGAAGACCCAGAGTTACCTCTGCTGCAGAGGATAAGTTCATTAGAGTTCCAGCCTCAGAAATTGCAGGCCAAATAAATGCTTCACAGAGGCGAAGTAACAGACACATCTCAACACAAACTGTTCAGAGGGGACTGTGTGAATCAGGCCTTCATGGTCGAATTGCTGCAAAGAAACCACTACTAAAGGACACCAATAAGAAGAAGAGACCTGCTTGGGCCAAGAAAAACGAGCAATGAGCATTAGACCGGTGGAAATGTGTCCTTTGGTCTGGAGTCCAAATTGGAGATTTTTTGTTCAAACCGCTGTGTCTTTGTGAGACACGTGGTGTGGGTGAACGGATGATCTCTGCATGTGTAGTTCCCACCGTAAAGCATGGAGGAGGATGTGTGATGGTGTGGGGGTGCTTTGCTGGTGACACTGTCTGCGATTTATTTAGAATTCAAGCCACACTTAACCAACATGGCTACCACAGCATTCTGCAGCGATACGCCACGCCATCCCATCTGGTTTGGGCTTAGTGCGACTATCATTTGTTTTTCAACAGGACAATAACCCAACACACCTCCAGGCTGTGTAAGGGCTATTTTACCAAGAAGGAGAGTGATGGAGTGCTGCATCAGATGACCTGGCCTCCACAATCCCCCAACCTCAACCCAATTGAGATGGTTTGGGATGAGTCGGACAGCAGAGTGAAGGAAAAGCAGCCAACAAGTGCTCAGCATATGTGGGAACTCCTTCAAGACTGTTGGAAAAGCATTCCAGGTGAAGCTGGTTGAGAGAATGCCAAGAGTGTGCAAAGCTATCATCAAGGCAAAGGGTAGCTATTTGAAGAATCTCAAATATAACATTTATTTTACATGATTCCATATGTGTTATTTCATAGTTTTGATGTCTTCACTATTATTCTACAATGTAGAAAATAGTAAAAATAAAGAAAAACCCTTGAATGAGTAGGTGTGCCCAAACCTTTGACTGGTAGTGTGTGTATATCTAAATAGGCGTACAGAGGCCCATTATCAGCAACCATCAGTCCTGTGTTCCAATGGCACATCATAATCATATTCATCAAACAGTGACATTGTAGACTGAGTCTAAAAGTACATACTTTTTTGCAATGGTAGATTGAATGTAGGTACACAGTGTACACTATAGTGTATTTGGAGAGTATGCAAGACCAGGTGTGCCTTTGTGAGACATACTGTTCAGGGGTACTATTGTTGGACACTGAATGTCTGAGATAAAGCAATAGCGCCAACTCCAATGTGGGTCCAAATTCCTGTTTTGAAACATACGACAATAACTTTCTCCTCAAGTACTTGTTTGCTCTTCAAATAGGGTTCATTCTGTGGCTTCACTAAATCATATTTCGCAGGCAACACTTTATCAACTCAGAGTAATCAGCCCTGAATACTGACTGGTTGCTTTGATGTTCTTTTCATCTGAGACCTGACAGAGACCTCTAACCTGTCTGGGTGTGTACATTCAACTCTAATAATACAGTTATAAACCTCAATAATATCACTAAAAGTATATATTCTTCAATACAGTGCATGCTAGGTCTGAGTCATTAAGGTTCTGGCCAGTTTAGCAGCAGACTTCTTGTTACCTGTGGAACTAGAAACTGGACTGTCCGTGAGATCCCTCCGTCCCACGATGCCATCTCCATCATGAAACCTGCAGAGGGAAACATCTTAAGTCAGGACAGAGAGGTCTCAGGGGTGACACAAAAGAGGAAAATTCCACTAGTGCGTCTTACTCTCTCACCTTTGACACATTTGAAGACCAGCTCGGCCCTCTTCAGGCACCATGGGATGGTCATCTCCTGCAGGTGAGAGAATAAGAGGAGTCAGTCAGGCCACAGGATGGTGGAACACACTTATCCTCGGTCACCCCTCACTGTTCCCTTCTCTTCTGCCTGCCTGACATTGTCAAAACGCATATTTTCATAAAGAAGAAAAGGAATGTTTTCTCACTGCTTTCTATGGTTCCTTTGAAACTGAGCTGGGCAAAAGTACAATTTCCTCAGAAAGCACTGGAAAAGAAGACTCCTGACAGAAATGCTTTTAATTTAGAAAGAGACTGGTTCCTGCAGCTTCGGAAGTGAGAATACTATACGGAGTACATTTCTGAGCAAGCTCTTGCTTTGACTTGAGAGAAGACGTTTCATCAGGCATGTTGTGGCACGATAAGGAGAGGGCCCTCTCTGCACCGCAGTGAGGAGGTCTACATCAGGCAGCAGCTTGTTGAGAAATGGCTGTTCTTCAATTCTGGGTTGCTCATGTGGACTTAGGAGTGTTGCTGCCTTTCAATACTACCGCTACCCTGCTCTGTGCGTACCGAGTGCTGTATACTCAGTTTGAGTAAACACAACAGTTCACGACCCTCCTCTTTTCCCTCATCTACTCCTGAATGGAGGAAATGCTAAGGAGAGTTCACAACCAGAGCTGAACAGGCCAGAACACTGCGGAGGTTGCACTGAACAAACAAGCAGAGAGACATGGCGGAGGAGGTAGAAATGAGACAGTATCAAAGGCTTGTGAATGTGGCATCGGGGAGGGTAGGAACATGTTAGGATGACACTGTGAATGGAGACAACAGACTGAAGCCCACAGCACTGCAGACCTGGGTTCAAATACATGTGTATTTGATTATTTGTTATTGAAATACTTATTTTCTGTGTATTTGAGTATTTTCAAATAATGTGGCCCAAATCAACTACTTCTATTGGAAGTATTTGAAAGTAATTTAAAATAATTTTCAAATACTTTTTTCAAATACCTGGGTTAAATGCATGGAAGTGTATTTGAGTCTTTTCAAATACATGCCAATACTTTAAGTGTATTTCAAATGGATTCCAATATTCAACTACTTGTCTTTTCAGATTTTTAAAAAATCTGAATACTTACTTCGAAATGTTTCTGAAAGCAATTGAGATATTTGAAATAGTATTTGAACCCAGGTCTGCAGCACTGTTTAACTGCAGGCCAGGAGGGGCATGGCGGAACTTAAAGACAAATCAGTTCCTAAGGCCTGAAATAAGACCGTCATTACTCCGCCTTTCCTTCTTCCTCAGTCTATTTTTCATCCTTTTCTCCTTCCCCCACTAACCATCTAACCAAGGAACTAGGAGTGGTCAGTTCAGATCACTGGGTTTACAAAAAAACTATATCTGTACAGTTAACTAATAAGTTATCGAAGCTCTTCACATCACCATTGCCAACATTGTGGACCCCAAAATTATTTTGATTGGTGTTCATAACAAAGCAAAATGTAGAATAATGGTAACTGCTGGTGACCTGAACTTAGATAAACTCAAGTCCCACAGCACCAGTTATGCATGCATAGCATATGTATAACTATACTATACTGTCCATGCATTACGCATCTGACTTCTGGGACCTTGAGGTAAATTATATAAATTACTTTCTGCTTTTACACACATAACATAAGGCTCTCTCTCACCTCTGACATGTCGTGGACCAGTAGCAGAGGGATGGTGATGGTGGTGACGTCGTGAGTGCAGCAGACCTTGAGGATGTTGCGGAGGCCCATGATGGCAGGGTCCCGGGCCGTGATGTTGCCTGAGCGCACGTTGTCATCCACACAGAGGTGGAACACTATGTGGACCTCAGACAGGTTGGAGTGGCGGGAGATGTAGAATTCACCTGGAGACAAAGACAAGAGCATTTAGGGAGTAAGATAAGGTATTAGAAATGACAGCCTATTTCTTTATTTTAAATATATTATTTTACCCCTTTTTCTCCTCAATTTTAGTGATAGCCAATTGGTAGTTACAGTCTTGTCCCATCGCTGCATCTCCCGTACGGAGAGGCGAAGGTCGAGAGCCATGCTTCCGCCGAAACACAACCCTGCCAAGCCACACTGCTTCTTGACACACTGCTCGCTTAACACGGAAGCCAGCCGCACCAATGTGTTGGAGGAAACACCGTACAACTGGGTCCGTGTCAGCGTGCATGTGCCCAGCCCGCCACAGGAGTAGCTAGAGCGCGATGGGACAAGGACATCCCGGCCGGCCAAACCCTACCCTAACCCGGACGACGCTGGGCCAATTGTGCGTCGCCTCATGGGTCTCCCGGTTGCGGCCGGCTGCGACACAGCCCGGGAACTGAAATTAGGCAAACTATTAGAATTTTAGCAACCAGGAAATGGCGGAGTGAATTTCTGCATAGTGCATCTTTAAGTTAAATGTTCACAATGCACAAAGTCAGGATTTGTCCCTTACAGAATTAGGTAAAACCATGTATTCAGTCAACTTTACCTGGTAAGATATTGGAGGGATTCCTTTCCAAATTTTTGTTCTTATCTTCACTATTAGTTCCATTCCTAGGAACCTCTGTCAATAGGAAAACAAGAGAGGAGTTCAGAATTTCCTGTAATGGAAAACGTGTGAGCAAAGATGACCTTTCAGGAAGTAAATGACAATAGCAACAACAGAGGTCATAGGCCCATCCATATAAGGCCTGATAGCCAGGAGGAATGTTTCCATACTCAGCTCTCTGATAGCTCTCCACTCAAACAGCCACTCAATGGGGATTGTTATAAGGATCTTGACATTGGTCCTGGGGCCCTTGTTAAAGGCCCAGTGCAGTCAAAAACGTGATTTTCTTGTGTTTTATATATACACACAAAAGTATGTGGACACCCCTTTAAATTAGTGGATTTGACTATTTCAGCCACACCCGTTGCTGACAGGTGTATAAAATCGAGCACACAATCATGCAATTTCATTGTGGCACCGTCATAGGATGCCACCTTTCCAACAAGTCAATTTGTCAAACTTCTGCCCTGCTAGAGGTGCCCCGGTCAACTGTAGGTGCTGTTATTGTGAAGTGGAAACGTCTAGGAGCAACAACGGCTCAGCCGCGAAATGGTAGGCCACACAAGCTCACAGAACAGGACCGCCGAGTGCTGAAGCGCGTAGAAATCATCTGTCCACGGTTGCAACACTCATTACCGAGTTCCAAACTGCCTCTGGAAGCAGCATCAGCACAATAACTGTTCGTCGGGAGCTTCATGAAATGGGTTTCCGTGGCAGAGCAGCCGCACACAAGCCTAAGATCACCCCATGTGCAATGCCAAGTGTCGACTGGAGTGGTGTAAAGCTTGCCGCCATTGGACTCTGGAGCAGTGGAAACGCGTTCTCTAGAGTGATGAATCACGCTTCAACATCTGGCAGACTGACGGACGAATCTGGGTTTGGTGGATGCCAGGAGAATGCTATCTGCCAACTGTAAAGTTTGGTGTTGGAGGACTTTTCATGGTTCGGGCTAGGCCCCTTAGTTCCAGTGAAGGGAAATCTTAATGCTACAGCATACAATGACATTCTAGACGATTCTGTGCTTCCAACTTTGTGGCAACAGTTTGGGGATGGCCCTTTCCTGTTTCAGCATGGCAATGCCCCGGCACACAAAGCGAGGTCCATACAGAAATGGTTTGTCGAGATCGGTGTGGAAGAACTTGACGGGCCTGCATAGAGAGCTGACCTAAACGCCATCGAACACCTTTGGGATGAATTGGAACGCCGACTGCGAGCCAGGCCTAATCACCCGACCTCATTAATGCTCGTGGCTGAATGGAAGCAAGTCCCCGCAGAAATGTTCCAACATCTAGTGGAAAGCCTTCCCAGAAGAGTGGAGGCTGTTATAGCAGCAAAGGGGGGACCAACTCCATATTAATGCCCATGATTTTGGAATGAGATGTTCGACGAGCAGGTGTCCACATACTTTTGGTCATGTAGTGTATTTCCACACTATGAGGTTGGAATAATACTGTGAAATCGTGAAAATTATAATGCCCTTTTAGTGTGGTAAATTTGTTAATAGACCAATAAGCAAGAGTGTTCCAAACTGCTCTGCCAATAACAGCTAATTTTCTGTTTTCACCCTCCCCACTCAGACCAATCACAGTAAGGACATTAAATTGTTACCCAGGAATGATTTGATAGAGATAAAAACGGCCACATTGGACCTTTAAGGTCAACGGCATCATAAACTTTACCCAGTAGCAGGACATTTTAGCCAAAAACCTGGTTGCCTCTGCCAGGAGGCTGAAACTTGGCCGCAAGTGGATCTTCCAGGAAGACAATAACCTCAAGCACACATTAAAATCCACAAAGAAATGGTTAATTGACCACGAAAAAATGTACATTCTACTATCGCCATCTCAGTTTCCGGACTTGAACCCCATTGAAAACCTGTTGTTTTCATTGAAGAGGGCAGTCCATAAACGCACACAAAGGATATCAAGGATCTGGAAAGATTCTGTATGAGGAATGGTCTAACATCCCTCCCAATGTGTTCTCCAATCTCATGAAACAGTTAGAAAAAGGCTCAGTGCCGCTATCCTCGCAAGGGGAGGTGTTGAAAGCTATTGAAAACAGGGGTGGCAATAATTTTCACCCCTGTTGGTGTGTATGACTGACTCACCCGGCTGGACTTTGTGCTTGCTGCTCCTCTGAGCCCGGGCATAAAGCACCACCTGCTGGACCACCTCCAGCTGCTCCTCCAGCCGAGGGAAGTGGAAGTCTGTACACTCCTTAGATACTGTGGCAAAGTCTGGGGAACACACACAAACACATGATGAGGACACATTACAATCTCACAATGGTTATGGAGGTTTAGGGGTTGGCGTATGTTGACTGTGACAAAACCTTTATGAGCTATCGTCATGCTAAAACATCTAACTCACTGGTGTCATCAAGCCAAAGCCAAACATCTTCAAATGTGGTCATGACAATAAGAAAGATTGAATTGATTCACTGATGATAAATGTGCTTTATCCTCTCATGTAACTAACAGGGCCTAACAGTGTGGTCCCCTGCTTAATGTTGACCCTTGGCCCCTGACCTCTCACCTCTCTTGATGCCACTATAGGAGTTGACCCTGTTGTCCACCAGCAGCACCAGGCCACACAGGGCCGAGGAGTAGAGTGACAGAGCAGTCTGCAGCCGCCGCAGCTTGGTCCCGCTGCTACCATGCCGACGGTGCTTACAGAAGTCCAGCACGTCCGCCCGCATCAGCCGCAGGTTGTGCATGGTCTTCAGCTGTGCACCTGGACAAAACCACAGCAATGACACCGTCAAAATACATCAAAAACAAACAAAAATATACTCTTAACACGTATGGGATGTCTTTATAGTTTACGATGTCAGGAAGTTCATTATAAATCCAGTGGCTGTCATCAGGGTTTATTTTTATCATGGGCTTGTCGGACCAGGCAGCAGTGCTTCCATGGGGACACAGACAGACAGTATAGTACCTAAGTGGATAGTGAAGCTCTCCTCCAGCTGTCGCTGCTCCTCGTACAGCCTGGCCCCAGGCTCAGACTCCACTGTCAGTTGGCTGGGCTGCACCTTGATCTCCTCACTGACAAACACAACCTCACACTGTAAAGGGCAGGGTTCACAAGATGTCTAGCCTTGTCCCAGACCTGTTTGTGCCGTCTTGCCCACGCCAATGAGCATAGAAGTTGGCTAAACAGCACAAACAGATCTGTGACCAGGCTGGAAGATGAGTGGACACAGGGCTACAAACTAACCCCAGATGAGGTGCATTGGGACTGACGAACTGCACATAAAAGGGGCGGCAGGTAGCTTAGTGGTTAAGAGCGTTGTGCCAGTAACCGAAAGGTCGCTGGTTCTAATCCCCGAGCCGACTAGGTGAAAAATCTGTCGATGTGCCCTTGAGCAAGGCACTTAACCCTAATTGCTCCTGTAAGTCGCTCTGGATAAGAGCGTCTGCTAAATGTAAAAAAAAAGTATATATTTTTTTTTATAAAAACGAGTAAACCATATATAACAAATATATTTTTTTCAGCTAGGATGCTCTTGAGCGTGCATTTGAAAGTGCTGCTGTGTGTGCAGATGTCATTCCACTGTGTCTGCAGGCTTTCTTTCCCGTCCAAGCACTTAACCACCTGACTCGACTACTCATTATCTTGATTTAACCAATTTTGCTTCACCGTAAGACTTGAAAGTGTTAGTAGGATTTCAAGGAACAGAATAAACCTGCTGAATTGCAACCCCCTAAAGAACTATTGAGAGTACATTTCTGCACATATGCATTCACAAGCACGCAAACACACACATATACCCACACACACTCACTCTTACTTAATAGTGCTGTTATTGGGGTTCTGCATGTCCTGGTGCAGTTTGATCACCCACTCCTGATACTCCTGCTTCTGGATATGAGTCACCTGTTTCAGTTCATTGGCCCACTTGTTCTCCAGCACCTGACCAGAGAGAAGAATCACCAATCATGAATATTTACGACTGTGTAGCTTTGTGCATAGAGCATTGCAATGCTTGTAGCTCAAATGGCCAAACTGAATGGTTCTGTGTCTTACCTGCTGGGCATCGAAGTGTTGAGATGCAACTGCATTTACATCCTGGTCAGTCATGGTCTTTCCCAGCTCCTGCATGACTTTGTCCATCTCTGCTGCCTGTCTGGGAGTTGAAAACAGAACAATGCAAAACGCTTTAGGCATTTGTTATATGAAACTAACTTCAATTACGATGACTTTAATTGGCCACTTTGCACTTGAGGATTTATCTCTATGATCATAACAACCTCTCTTGTAACTTCTTCAGCTCCATGTCTCTCTCACTGATGAGCTCCGAGACACTGACAAAGTAGTTGTGTTCCAGGTTGAGCAGGGTGTCAGAGGCCGGGGAGTGGATCAGCTCATGGTAAACATCTGCAAAGTCCTCGTCCCAGCTGGGCTCCTCAGGACGAGCATGTTCCAACGTGGTCTAAATAGTAACAAGAAAAGAGGATGATTGCGTTGAGGTGTGGGCGTAACCTTTTCACAGTAAAGGAAAATCACAGGAAGACACTGTTCAGTAGATCAGAGGAAATTGTAGGAAATGCAAAAGTGAGGGACATTGTGCTGTATGAAAGACCCGGTCAACAATTGTGACTGGACGGTGTGAAAAGCAAGATGCGATTCTCCTTAACTAACGTAATAGAGGGGAAGCTAAGAGAAAGACCTCGTACTTGTGCCATATTTAGAATGTACATAGAAAAGTATTTAGAGTCTTCCTCTATTATTACAAGTCCAGTGATCTTTACGCAACAAACATTATATACATTAAAAGACCTTTGGAGTTCCTTCAAATACACTGGACAGCGTCCATGAGTATTTCTGCACTAGTGCAGTAAAATGTTAATGGTTACCCTGTACACATCACAGCAGTGAGCAACCAAGCTTTATAGGAGGGGCAGCCTTTTTTATTTTTACAAGTGCTTGAGCAAGTGGCAGCAGAATTTAAAGTCTAGAACTTTGAAGTGCATGAAGCAGATGATCTTGTTGACTTTAAAAGACAAAAAATTGGGAAGATATTCTGTTTCAAAGGGAGTCTCTGCTTTCATCCATTTAAATTGAAAGCCACCATGTCTAGTAATATCTCTCATCAGACCACAGATGTTTTAATGATTTACAATTTCCTTCAGACTGTCAGACAGATGACGCCGGTCTTGCTTGTATAAAATTGATGAGGTGGATCAAATTCAAACACTACATCTTGGCAACTCCCAACAACTTTTAGCAAATCTTTCCAATCTAATTTGATACATTGTTCCGAACTTAAGGCGCAGTCAACTGTCTGTTACTGACTTTCTGTATCAATATAATGATCTATGACCACAGCTCAGACATTGGAGATTATAATATTATCAGGAGGCACAGTATGCAAACACTTCTCTAGCTGTTCTTTGAGATAATTGGATTGTTCCATACAAAAAATAGCATAAGAATACAGATTGCACTGTAGTCTCATACATACAACAGTGTCATCCACTTCTGTAATGTGAGGTGGACAACATGAGGAAATGAAAAAAATCAGTGTGTGGGATACTACCAGACAGAAGCGAGGAATGTGGGAGAAGAAGCGAGAGGACAGAAGCAGGGACAAAGGAGCAGGGAAGGGGTTAGAAGCTATAGGGACAAAGAACTTTATATGAAAATATGCTTCTAAACATGGTCTTTGGTTTTGAGTTCTGCTTTTACCTCCGAGTACGCCTTTGCCCATGTGTTTGTAAGCTGGTTGATGTCCACCTCTCCTGTTGTCAGTCTCTGTAGGGCCAACTCTGCTTCTTTGTCATAGTCCTTGATGGTTTCGCTCTCAATAAAGGTGGACAGTGTGCTCTTCAGTTCTAAACCAATATACATTAAATTATTAGTACCAAAAGGTATGTGTGGATGAATAGAAAAGACAAAGTTTCATTTTATTTAGTTAAATGGAAGTCTCACCATTCTCAACGAAGCAAGGTATTTTGTGCAGCAGCATAAGTCGTCCATGAAGGTCACTGACATTTTCTTGGACAGGGAAATGCAGAGGTACTTTGAGGACACAGTCATTCCTCCCTGCCCTGAACCGAAACACAAACTCCTTCTCAGTGGTGGTGTTCACCTTTCCCTTGTTTTTCTTCATTTTCTCAGCTGGAAGCAGATGAAAGAAGTTATAAACCAATAAAAATTCATAGAATTGTGAGTATATGTACAGTAATAATAATGCAATCACGTCCTGTGTCATGTAAACCAGATAGTCTGAGATGCATATCATTTTGCCCCTTTCGAATCCGAGTGAGGAATTTCCTTCGTCACTCGTCTCTAACATATACGATAAAACATTCCAAACAGTCCCTTTACTAGTTAGAATGTTGAACAAACTTAATTTGAATCTTACTCTACATGTTGTCCGCTGATTTCGTCCTTATTCGGATGGAAATATGAGACAAAATACCCACACGAAAGTGTTATTAACTCGACTTAAACATGAGTGTCTGTGTGTGGCCATCATGGTTTGTTTACTCATCACCTACGGCACGCGCACAAGACAGAAATACATGCACGCGATGCATGCATACTAACTGAAAGTCTTGCAGGTGTTTACGTGGTTTTGCGCATCTGCCTGGTGGTAGAAATCTCAATGGCAGTACCAGCGTTTTGAAAAGTCGGTTTAATAATACTTTCCTTTGGATAATTATTCTTAAATTTCAACCCAAATAAGGACAAACCACAAGGACAACCAGTAGAGTAAGTTGAAATGTAATTGTATTAAACATTCTGGTTTGTAAGGAAACGACTGCTAAAAAACGAGTAGTCGTTCAATCTTCTCGGTGTAACAGTTGGGATAATGGGACAATTCGGAGTACAACGCATTTCTCATCCCTGGATTGAGGTACGTTTTCCTGGCCATATCTCGCACCGGCAGTGTCTTAATCTACACAGGAAACCTATCCGCCCCTAGTGCAGCTGTAAGCAAGCGGGTCGGATCGGCTGGCTACAGAAATTATATTAATAGCTAATGCCTTTTAGCAATTGGAAATAGACTACTTTAGCTAACTACCAGGCTTGCAAGGTTCAGATTATTGCTGACAGATAGCTAGCTAGCTAGTAAAAACAATAAGCATGAACGCGTTAGGTCATACACTATATACAAAAGTATGTGTACACCCCTTCAAATTAGTGGATTCGGCTATTTCAGCCACACCCGTTGCAGACAGGTGTATAAAATCGAGCACACAGCCTTGCAATCTCCATAAACAAACATTGGCAGTAGAATGGCCTTACTGAAGAGCTCACTGACTTTCAACGTGGCACCGTCATAGGATGCCACCTTTCCAACAAGTCAGTTCGTCAAATTTCTGCCCTGCTAGAGCTGCCCCGGTGAACTGTATGTGCTGTTATTATGAAGTGGAAACGTCTAAGAGCAACAACGGCTCAGCCGCGAAGTGGTAGGCCACACAAGCTCACAGAACGGGACCAAACTGCCTCTGGAAGCAACGTCAGCACAAGAACTGTTCATCGGAAGCTTCATGAAATGGGATTCCATTTTAGTCATTTAGCAGACGCTCTTAACCAGAGCGACTTACAGGAGCAATTAGGGTTAAGTGCCTTGCTCAAGGGCACATTAACGTCATTTAGCAGACGCTCTTAGCCAGAGCGACTCACAAATTGGTGCGTTCACAAGCCTAAGATCATCATGTGCAATGCCAAGCGTCGGCTGGAGTGGTGTAAAGCTCGCCGCCATTGGACTCTGGAGCAGTGGAAATGTGTTCTCTGGAGTGATGAATCACACTTCACTATCTGGCAGTCCGACGGACGAATCTGGGTTTGGCAGATGCCAGGAGAACGCTACCTGCCCCAATGCATAGTGCCAACTGTAAAGTTCGGTGGAGAAGGAATAATGGTCTGGGGCTGTTTTTCATGGTTCGGGCTAGGCCCCTTAGTTCCAGTGAAGAGAAATCCTAATGCTACAGCATACAATTAGATTCTAGACGATTCTGTGCTTCCAACTTTGTGGAAACAGTTTGGGGAAGGCCCTTTCCTGTTTCAGCATGACAATGCCCCAGCGCACAAAGCGAGGTCCATAAAGAAATGGTTTGTTGAGATCGGTGTGGAAGAACTTGACTGGGCTGCACAGAGCCCTGACCTTAACCCCATCGAATGCCTTTAGGATGAATTTGAACGCCGACTGCGAGCCAGGCCTATTTGCCCAACCTCATTAATGCTCGTGGCTGAATGGAAGCAAGTCCCCGCAGAAATGTTCCAACATCTAGTGGAAAGCCTTCCCAGAAGAGTGGAGGCTGTTATAGCAGCAAATGGGGGGACCAACTCCATATTAATGCCCATGATTTTGGAATGAGATGTTCGACGAGCATGTGTCCACATACTTTTGGTCATGTAGTGTATATACAGTCATGATGCGTCAGGTTACGTAACTAAAGCGTTTAATAGTTAGCAATAGTAGCTAACATACTGCAATGTTAGCTACTATAGCTAACTTGCAAACGCTTTAGTTACGTAACCTGACGCATCAGGTCGGTGCCTAGCTAGTGCAACCAATAGCAGCAATATTGACACTAATCATACTGCAATCGTGATACATTTGTTTCAGAAGAATAAAGATGGGAGAAGTCTAGTTTTACCTGTACATTAGTATTAAGTGGATGTAAACTGACGCCCGTGTAAGTGTCCTTGTTTGTACAATCAGCTGACTGACACAACTGAGCTAGCTGTGCTTTTGAAATACAACTTTCGTCGTATTGTATTTTTTTATTTATTAATAAAATGTAAATGTAGGACACACAAGTGGGACCATATGGAGGTTTATCTTATTATTCGAATAATGGTTTTCCATTGTCATTAACAGTATATATTTCAACATTTTGTCAATGTACACAAAAAAAGAACGAATCACCTAAACAGAAACACAATATAGATGTGCCAGATTCATTCAGTTTGTAACTGGATAGTTTGAAATAAGTACTTGAGTACTTATTTCAATGTGGTCTTTTAGCGAAGTTATTCAGTATTCATTTTTTCTAGTTTGTACACTGTTAGGAGACTTGAGACACGTTATTCAGTAACTAACGTTAGCTACAGTATCAGTTATCTGTGTCTGACAAGTAGTATGGAGCTGCGGCTCTGAGAATTGTTTCTTCATCCTATGCAATATATTCCCAGTGAATTTGGTGATGTTTCCCCCGTTCAGAGAAATTAGTCATTGAAGTTAGGTTAATGTCCCATACTACATCCTGACCACTAGATGGTGCTGTTCCTGCCATTAGGTAAAACAAGTTTGAAGATCCCCCCCCCTCAATGTTGAAGGGATAGTTCACCCAAATTACAAAATTAAATTTGTTTCCTTACCCTGTAAGCAGTCTATGGACAAGGTATGACAGCAACCCATGCTTTGGTTTTGTTGGCCACTGTTTTAACCTTTTTTTGCATTATGGCATAAATCCAATGCAAGTCAATGGTACCTATATTAGCATTTTCACACTTAATGTTCAAATTATCCTAAAGTATCTCAAATTGATTGTAACTCAATGATGTTACTTATAGATTATTTGGATATGAAGTGCGAAAATGCTAATATAGGTACCATTGACTTGCTTTGGATTTGTGCCACAAATGCAAAAAAGTTACCATTTGAAACAGTGGCCAGGTTAACAAAACCAAAGCATGGTTGCTGTCATACCTGGTCCATAAACTGCTTACAGGGTAAAAAAAAAAACAATATGTCATTTTGTATGGGTGAACTATCCCCACAAATGCTAAAACGTTAGCATTTGAAACAGTGGCCAGGTTAACAAAACCAAAGCATGGTTGCTGTCATACCTGGTCCATAAACTGCTTACAGGGTAAAAAAAAACAATATGTCATTTTGTATGGGTGAACTACCCTTTAACATTGGGGTGGTCAGAAGCTGGTAATATCAGGATGTAGGATGGGACATAAACCTATCAACGTCAATCACTAATTTCTCTGAACAGGGGGGAAAAAACATCACCAAATTCACTGAGAACATAGGACGAAGAAACAATACTCAGAGCCGCAGCTCCATACTAGGCTACTTGTCAGAGATAGAGAACTGATACTGTATAATCGTTGTTGCGATTGGGATTGGCATGGGGTGTGGGGGTCTGTGTGTGGCTTTTGACCATTCCTTTGGATTACTCATGTCTAACTCATTGTTAGAAAAAAAGTTTTGTCCAACTCGGATATTAGGTACTTTATTGAATATTATATGCAATCAATAAACTTAATTTCTCAGATCAAATTATATTTAAACAAAAATAATGTAGCAGGAATGCTAATTTGATCTGTTTCTAACTACAGAAGTGATTTCAGAACAATCTGAGATGGTGGGTGTCATGGCTTGCTGAAATGACATGGAACGACCCAACTGCAAAGACTATGATAACTGTTTCATTTGAGTGTGATGAATGATCACTATTTACTATTGTCAACAGAGCCAAAAACCAATTAAATTACTCAGACTTGATGGAGCTTGATGATGGTACGGTGATGATGATACCAACTGTTTGGAAATTCTAAACTTTTACAAATTATCAGAATGTCAACGCTCCCGTTTTTTGTTTTTTTTCAATCAGATGAAGATTTTGCCTGTATAAAAGGACCTCCCAAGCAAGAAAGTTTGGATCCTTGTCAAAGAACCACAGAGAGACAAGAGTCTGTGTCAATCAAGAATTCAAAGAACGTAGGCCTGTAATTTGTATTTTGATTTTTTTTAAAAACGAATTACTACATGTTTTGTAGGTGTCACACGGAAAAACATCTTCACACACTGCCATCAAGTTAGGCACTATTTTGATCAGTGAATCCATCCATGCAACATGGATCTTCATAGGGGAAATCATGGCCATGCAAGGCAAGCGTATAGACAGTCACTGTGTGTGTTTTTCCAGATTGTCTTAGGATGACAAAGAGAATGAAGTGGATTCACAAACATCCTGTTCTCTCTCTGTGATCAAAGAGATGTAGTTGTCTTAGAGAAAGCACCCAGTGGAATAAGTATGTTCAGTGATCCTTTTATAAAGCCTTTATGAACATTCATTATTTAGAGAAACATAGTACTTTGTCAAACCTGCTGTATAACATGTCAGACAGAGCTAAATATGCTGTAAATCATGAGAGTAACGTTAAACCCTGCCTATAGTCTCTGTGTTCTAATGAGTTTCTCTCTCTCTCTCTTAGGCCTTCATGAGGTCACAAATGAGAGGGGATCCAATGTCAACCCCTTCAGCCAGAGACAGGCAGCTGCCAAAGCTACAGATCAATAGAGATCTGTACTGAAGGTGGTGGGGAGAATAAGGATTACGAGCCTACCTGCACACCATCTGTCATTATGTACGGCAGTGTTTCTCCACTCCAGTCATCGAGTACCCCCAACAGCAAATCAATTTGTTGTAGCCCCGCCCCAGAAAAACTCACCTGATTCAACTAATTGAGGGCTTGATGTTTAGTTGACAAGTTGAATCAGGTGTGCTTGTCAGGGGATACAACAAAACATGGTACTGTTTGGGGGTACTGGAGTTGGGAAACACTGATGTACAGTGTATTAATGCCCTCAATATGCTGTTCATTTTGTTGCACTGCATAGCAGTGTTTTGGTTTAGTGGTGTCAAACTGTGAACAACATATGTGAAAACATGATTCTTGATTACAATGCAATTACTACTACTGTCATTCTTACACACTCAGGGGCGAACAGAGTTTAAGTAAGGACTAGGCTAATTCTACTTAAATTAATCCAGATTTATGGACGGAGGTAAAAGAAAACGTTCAAAGAATTTCAGTGACTGTTAAAAAAACCTCTTGAAGTGAATTGTGTCAAACCACCCAATTATCAACAACTAACAGCATGATTCAACAACAGAAAACAAGAAAAATAATACCTGCACTACCATTTGTAATGAATTCAACGCAAATGAAAAAGTCAACAAAATGATGCTAAAACAACTTAAGATTAGATACTATATTTATTGTTGGCCCAGTTTTACAAATCAGAGTCACTTTGAAATGTTAGTTTTCTTGTGTAATACAACACAGTGGGGCCTAAATGTATTTGTGTGACAGAAATGTAACAGAAACAATATCATACTTAATTACTAATATCATTTCTGTATTGTCATGTCTTTCTGTTCCTGTGAAAAAACACAATCAACTTAAAGAAGACAAATGCTGTTGCTCATAGGGAGCGTTTCCAGACTGGTAAGACCAGAGACAGATGAGCTGGGGGACTTGTTGACCGGGTTCATTGATAGCCAGCAACCGCTGGAAGGTATCCCAGATGATGACCATTTGGACAGTTCAGATTGGGGACCGTTCCAATCCTCATTTGGTAGGACACATTCATTCAACATATGCCATCCCCGGACTGCAGGAAATATGTGATGTTGTCAGTCATCTCTTGCACTCCCATAATAAAAATGATGTAATGAACTCAACTCTTGAAAAATAATGTTCTCTAATGCAGCAATGTAATCATTTTCTAGAGGCAGATGATCACCATAGCTTGGAGGGGACTTGTCTTAACAGGATGAAGGTCAGCCCGTGAGCAAGTCACTAACCCAGGCCGGAGGACAAAGACAGAGGCTGAGCATGCATGAGAAACTGGCCATGGCATTTCATGAGTGCAAACTAATGTATTTAAAAAAGGAGCATGATATGAAGATGCAAATCCTTTATGTTGAGTTGGCTATGGAGGAGGAGGAGGAGAGAAACATGAAGCAGCAGCCGTACCAATGTTCTTCTCGAACCAGCACCAGTTCAGGGTCCTGACATTTCCATTTGTGAATTATTACTATTGTTTGCTTCAATCCCATGAGCTATCTTTGTTGTGAGAAGTGCTGCATAGCAAAAGCTTCTCTGCAGGCTTGTACATTTCTGTCATTGTCTGCCTCAACCATGGGAACATCTGGGTCATCCTCACCTTCAATGCGAGGATCTGGGGAGCCATGCTGTTTGAGGTAATTGTGAAGCAATGCTGTTGCAATTATGAGAATGCAGCATCATGGTTGAAAGCGCAATATGTTTCTGAGACACTGGAAAGACTCTTCCACACACCAAACATGTGCTCCACTACTCCTCTGGTGCGGATATGTAGATTTATTGAGAAACAGTTTTTAAGATTCCTGTACTCCTCAGCATCTGCTGTAGAGGGACACTTGATGGGAATTTGACATCCATCTATACAGCCAATGACTCCAGGGAAGCTCCCATATTCATAGAACTCTACCTTGTAGTTGTCTTGGGCAGCAGCATCAGGGAACTTTATGTAATTGTCTTTCAGTTCACATATAGCATTGCAGACTTTGTGGACTATTCTGCATACAGTCAGTTCACTTACAGACAAAAATCTCCTGTTTCACAATGGAAGGTTCCAGATGCCAAAAACCTCAATGTGATCAGTACTTGTAGGGAAGTAGGGCAGGTCATCCCCTGAAGAGAGTCAGCTAATAGCCTTGGCTCAAGCAAACAAATAATGTCAACTGCATTTTCTTTGTACATACGGAAACGGTCACGAAAATTGATTTCATCAAAATCATTCAGTGGCTTATTCCTGTCTAGAACCACCCTTCTGTCTGGCCTTGGTGGTGCTCTTTGATCATCATTGTCCAGGTAATCAATTTTCCTCCATTGCCAAGGTCAACCTGGGGGCCAACATCCATTAATCTGAAGTTAAGCCTGCCTCTGGCCAGGTTTAATTTAAGCCTTCACTTAGATCTAGATTAACTCTAATCGTCTTTCTGGAAATCAGACTTTTAAAATCTAGACTAGGGCAAGCCTGAGACTATTTTAAACCATGTCTGAGAAATGCAATTTCAGTTTGTCCAGTTAAAAGAGCAATTTAGTCTAGGATTAGGCTTAATCTGTGTCCATGAAACCACCCCTCAGAGCGTGACCAGAGTTTTGATGAGGAGGATTAGAGCAATGAGGAGTTCACTGCAAAGAAAGTGGGAAATGGGGAAACAGGGAAACGGGGAAGAAAACCAAAACAGCTCAGCCTCTAAGAAAGCAGATGAAAAGAAGCCTAAAAACACTGAAGAACAAAGAAAGGGATATTGCAAAATCTTCAACAATGTTTTTGGTAAAACAGTGTACTAGTATCTATAGATGTGCTTGGGTGTGGCTTCTGTGCATTTTCCAAAGCCCCAAACTTGCAGTGCTTTCATGCACAGAAGAAAGAATAGAGATGTTAGTGATAAGGTTTCATAAATGAGCTCTTCAATTTAGTTATTTATCTATTTTTAGCTTTATGCGTACGTTATATAGTGACAAAAATAACAGAAGTCACTTTCAGTGAATGGACGTTTTATTTTTCTCAGTTGGCATTTGTAACTCTTGTCATGACAGTCAAACTTACAGCATGTGTTGTCGTAGTAGCCTAGCCTTACTATACTCTGACTACAGTGCATTCGTTACAGCTTTATTCTAAAATGGATTAAATTATTTTTTTTCCTCATCAGTCTACACACAATACCCCATAATGACAAAGCAAAAACAGAAATACCTTATTTACATAAGTATTCAGATCCTTTGCTATGAGACTCGAAATTGAGTTTAGGTGTATCCTGTTTCCATTGATCATCCTTGAGCTGTTTCTACAACTTGATTGGAGTCCACCTGTGGTAAATTCAATTGATTGAACATGATTTGGAAAGGCACCCACCTGTCTATATTAGGTCCCACAGTTAACAGTGCATGTCCGAGAAAAAACCAAGCCATGAGTTCGAAGGAATTGTCCGTAGAGCTCAGAGACAGGATTGTGTTGAGGCACAGATCTGGGGAAGGGTACCAAAAACCATTTTCAGCATTGAAGGTCCCCAAGAACATAGTGGCCTCCATCATTCTTAAATGGAAGAAGTTTGAAACCACCAAGACTCTTCCTAAAGCTGGCCGCCCGGCCAAACTGAGCAATCGGCGGAGAAGGGCCTTGGTCAGGGAGGTGACCAAGAACCCGATGGTCACGCTGACAGAGCTCCAGAGTTCCTCTGTGGGGATGGGAGAACCTTCCAGAAGGACAACCATCTCTGCTGCACTCCACCAATCAGGCCTTTATGGTCAAGTGGCCAGACGTAAGCCACTCCTCAGTAAAAGGCACATGACAGCCCGCTTGGAGTTTACCAAAAGGCACCTAAAGGACTCTCAGACCATGAGAAACAAGATTCTCTGGTCTGATGAAACAAAGATTGAACAATTTAGTCTGAATGCTAAGCATCACGTATGGAGGAAACCTGGCACCATCCCTACGGTGAAGCATGGTGGTGGCAGCATCATGCTGTGGGGAGGTTTTTCAGCGGCAGGGACTGGGAGACTAGTCAGGATCGAGGGAAAGACGAACAGAGAAAAGTACAGAGAGATCCTTGATGAAAACCTGCTCCAGAGCGCTCAGGACCTCAGACTGGGGCGAAGGTTCACCTTCCAACAGGACAACGACCCTAAGCACACAGCCAAGACAATGCAGGAGTGGCTTCGGGACAAGTCTCTGAATGTCTTTGAATGGCCCAGCCAGAGCCCGGACTTGAACCCGATCTAACATCTCTGGAGAGACCTGAAAATAGCTGTGCAGCGACGCTCCCCATCCAACCTTACAGAGCTTGAGAGGGTCTGTAAAGAAGAATGGGAGAAACTCCTCAAATTCAGGTGTGCCAAGCTTGTAGCGTCATACCCAAGAAGACTCGAAGCTGTAATCACTGCCAAAGGTGCTTCAACAGAGTACTGAGTAAAGGGTCTGAATACTTATGTAAATGTCATATATTTTTATTTTTAATACATTTGCAAACATTTCTAAAAACTTGTTTTTGCTTTGTCATAATGGGGTATTGTCTGAAGATTGATGAGGGAAAAAATACGATTTAATCCATTTTAGAATAAGGTTGTAAAGCAAAATAAATTGGAAAAAGTCAAGGGGTCTGAATACTTCCCGAATGCACTGTATACAGTATCTATGGAAACCTGAACTGTGTTCTGATGTCCCCTTGGCGTAGAGGGGTAAACTGGTTTAACGGCCCTGTTTGTGAGCCAGTTGTTTGTGTCGGTAGTAGGACTCTACAAGCATTTGGCACTTTAGAAGGGTTCTGTTTGGAGTTATAGGGGCTAAAGCAGGTTTTAATTTCACAATCCAGAGACAAGACCCCCATTAAAGATGCATGCTGTGTCCATTACAGGTATTTAACTGATTTGCTTACATGTCTCTCCATCCTGAATGACAGCTTTTCAGCCACAAATCACACACAGATTGAATTTAACAAATATCTCAGATAGCCTAGTCACTATTATTGGGATGTATAGCCACTCCTGTATTATTGTCATATTTAATTTATTGCAGTGACTGCATGATAAGCATTACAGGTGTTTCACTGAGTCTAATCAGGAATTATCTTGATGGGGTATATTGCATCTGGTGGCAACTGCAAGGATATTGATTTCTTCAGTGGATTTGTTCAAGTAGCTTTATTGGACTGTTGGCTGATGATGAGTAGGCTAAACTCATCAGTGACTATCAGCTTATTTCCTAATAATAACAGACATGGAGATGTATGAAGAAAGAAGTCACAGCAGGCATAGCCTACCATTGTAGATATGATCTGGTAGTCTACAGTTACTGTATGTAAGTGACAAAAAAAAATCCCTTTCTTCTTTGGGTCATTCTTCATAATACGTTTATGACCTTGGGGCCTCAGGGAAGGACCCTACCTGGTCCAAACCAGATAACGGCAAAATGATTTATGGGATCGACCGGAATTCGAACAAATAGATGTTAGGGAACTTATGTAACTGTGACGCCATCAGATCCATTGTGTTTGGAGTAATGAGAAATTCCCCTGGTTACCGAGAGAGTGCCATAGAGCGCCATGGTTGAAGTGTGGGAGGCGAGCCCCCTCCTCGCAGCTCAGCTACATTGACGCAGCGGGACCCGTCCACCGTCACAGCACAGTAATATATTAGATTTTTAACATAAGAGTAGACCATGACAAACCATGAGTGTGACTAATAGATCCACGGAGAAGAGGTTAGTAGGCTATTTGTAGGGGATGGGGACAAAATGTTTTTACATGTTATGTGATGTGATTGACTATAATTACATGTCAGATGTATTTCAGTTATGTTTGTGGACACCATAATTCAATATTTTTGCATGACACATTTGCAATAGCAATGTCTAGCCTAGGCTTACTGTATTGTAGCAGTGGTGGCAGGTGTTGGCAAAATATGATCATAGCCAAAACAATACGTGTAATAGAAGTTGTGAACAAGAATGAGCCCATTTAGAAGGGAATGGAGAAAGGTGGATAATGTTTTTATTTTTATGCAGGTCTTTGCCAGTGGGGGTCAGTAGTTTGCCATTGGTTTACAAGGAGCTATATGGACTAGGCTATTATTATACCTCAGCCTACACAAACTAAGAAAAGGGAAACCTTTCTAAAACAAACTAATTGGAAAACCATGTCAATCAATTTTCTCTGAGGTACACGAGGATGTTAAAACATCTAACATAAATATGTTATATCACAGGAGATTATGTATTTCTGCCCCAACTCCCAATGGACATTTATCATTGTTACATTGTAAATATGTATATATTATTATTGTTGTTTCATTCACTTCTCTTTAACCTACACTGTCGGAGCTCAGAGCTTAAGAATTTCACTGTACTCTGTTATTACATCTGTGCATGTGACTAATACACTCTAATCTAATTAGTTTTTTACAGGAATGCAATGAAGAAGAAGCTGGAAAATCTGATAAAGGAGAGGAATAATGTCTCCCTACCACTG